CATTCACAAGCCTCGAGCCTCGATCCTCGATCCTCGATCCTCGAAGGCCGCGTTCCCCGCACCTCGTGAGGACGGCGAGTGGACGGACAGGCAGAAGGTTCGCCAGGGCGAGATCCAGGCGATCTCAGAGGCCCTGGCCGTCCTCTCGAGCGACGAGGCCCGCGACACCTTCCGGGCGTCCCTGAAGTCCCAGGGCTACTCGCTGCTGCAGGTCCTCCTCCTCCTCCTCCTCCTCCTCCTCCTCCTCCTCCTCCCTCCCCTCTCCTCCCCCTCCTCCTCCCCCTCCTCCTCCCTCCTCCTCCTCCTCCTCCTCCTCCTCCTCCTCCTCCTCTCCCTCCCTCCCTCCCTCCCTCCCTCCCTCCCTCCCTCCCTCCCTTCCCTCCCTCCCCCCTCCCTCCTCCCTCCCTCCTCCTCCTCCCCTCCCTCCTCCTCCTCCTCCTCCCTCCTCCTCTCTCCCTCCTCCTCCTCCTCCTCCTCCTCCTCTCCTCCCCTCCTCCTCATCCCTCCTCCTCCCTCCTCCTCCTCCTCCCTCCTCCCTCCTCCTCCTCCTCCTCCTCCTCCTCCTTCTCCTCCTCCTCCTCTGGCCGCCCCTCCCCCCCGCCGCCCCGCGGGCGTCCGCCGGGGGCCTCCGCACGCCGCCGCCGTGCCCGGGGCAGGGCCGCCCCGCGCCCAGGGATGGCGCGCGCGCGCGGGGCACGCCACGTATAGGCAGATGCAGAGTTACACACATACACACACATACGCAAACGCACACGCACACGCACACGCACACACACACAGACACAGACACACACACGTATATGAGATGATAGAGTATATTAGAATATAACTTGACATATCATCATATGAACTGATATCATACAGTATTTTGTATTATATGCACACTGGCACTTCGCGAGCGGCGTCTCGTTGGAGCTTCGATGTCAGATCAATGAGAAATTGGCCTGGCAGCAGGAGCCCCACAGAGGTCCCTTTTTGTCCCCCGGTGGCCCCAGGGCCCCGCGCGAGCTCCGGGGCCTCCCAGGGCCTCCTTGACCTCGGCCGCGGAGGTGCCCCAAGACCTCCTGCGGCCGAGTTTCTCGTCGTGCAGTCGAGGCGCTGAAGTCATGACCAGTTAGGGCTCAGGACAGGCTCGGGATTTCGGGCCGCTAGCCAATCATATGTCGTAGAACCTACATTGTGGTCTAGGCCCACCATGGCCAGACAAGCCCCTTCGTGCCTGGTTGTGCGTCTCTCATACTGCCACGATGACTGTCTGTGCCCACTGTGCTTAGGTCGGGCGTGTCCCTTTACTTGAGGAGTACATATTCGAAAACAATCAAAACAAGTCTTTTGGATGCTTTGTCGCTTGCTGTGCTTTATTTGTCAACCAGCATCCGCGCGTAGGGGGACATGCCCGACCCCCCTGTGCACACCCGCGGCGCCGCAGCCCCCCGAGGCCGGCGGGGGCCCGCCTCCCCGTGGGTCCCTTTTTTGGGGGGGGGTCGGCACCGGAGCCGCGCCCACTGCTCGGGGCGGGCCCGGGCGCTCTCGGCAGCCGCGCAGCGGCCCGCAGAGGGGGTGCACGCCGTGCCCTGGGGCCCGGGGCTGCCCTGACCTGGCGCGGCGGCGCTGCACGTGGAGCGGCCGCCTGAATCGCAGCCCAGGCAGGGGGCCTCGGCTCCTCCCCCCCCCTCCCCCCCCTCCTCCTCCTGGCCCGCCCCCCCGCTGCTTTGGCTGCTGGCACTCTCCTGTTGGGGAGGTGTTCGACCGCTCCTGCAGGTCCCGCATTGCAGGAGTCAGTCATGTGCGGTGCGAGCGCCGAGCTCAACAAAAACTCCCCCTGCCCTCCTCACCCCTTCGACGTTCGGCAGACTCTGAGCGGAGCTCGCAGCGTCGTGGGAGGAGCGGGACAAAACCCAGAGGGAAGCAGGTGCAGCTCGCATTGATGTGGGGCGGGGGAGAGTGCTGGAAGGTGTAAGGAGAGACCAAGCGAAGTGAAACAAGTAGAGGCTCACCATGAAGCTTCGTCAGGGTGCCCTGGCGGAGCAGGCACAAGCAAGGTTACCCCAACCCACAGCTAACACACCCAATCTAGCGACACAGGCGCCTGCGGTGGCGCGCGACAGGGCAGGAAAAGCCAATGATGCAACGCCCTGAATGTCCATCGAAGATGGTATGGCCAATGTAACGATGCCCTGGCAGACAAGGATGGGCCGATGTAAAGATGCCCGTGACTATTGCCCTCGCCGGTTGTCAGGTAATACTCAACATCCAGCCTCCTCCTTTCATAGTGACTCAACCTCCCCCATTCCTCCTGGAGCCCTCCTGCACGTGAGAAGTAGGCGCATTGCACTGCGTGCTCAATGATCAGAGCACGAGCTTGGCGGCACAACCTGTCGGGCTGGGCGGCCTAAATTTGGGAGGCTGGCGGCCTACGGTTGCGGGCCCCATTCCTCAATCCGCCCCTCGGGCCCCATCGCTATCCTGACAAAGCTGTCGCCTACGGTGGCGCGTTGCAGCGCAGGGCCAACGATGCAACGCCACCGAGTATGGTAGAGCCACTATACTGATGCCCATGGCAGCAGACAGAGATCGGCCGATATACAGATGCCCGTGACTATTGTCCTCGCTGGGTGTCAGGTCAAGTTCAATATCCGACTTCCCCCTTCACATTTAGTCCTCCATAAAGTCCCACCCCCTCCTGTGCAGCGTGTGTGCGACACGGACAGTGCAGGGCCGATGTATAGATACTTTCTGAGGTGGCCGACACAGTTGGGAGGAACACGAGCGCAACGCTCGTGCTTCACAGTGAGTCGGACCTATGTGACGATCATCGTGTTCGTGCCCGCCCCGATAATATCACCCCGCGCGGAACTCCGTCGACTGCTCGCACTGAGGGTCGGAAGTAGCTGCGCAGTGTCAAGAGGCAGCGGCGTGCAGACTGCCAATGGAACGCTGCCGATTAACATGGGAATGGGGTATTGCCGCCTCCTCGCGCGGTTCGGTCTTCCTCGTTCTCTTCCTCCTCCTCCTCCCCCTCCTCCTCCTCCTCCTCGTTCTCCCCATGCCGTCGCCACTTTGGTTCAAGATGATTTGTTCCCCAGGGAACGAAGTGGGCGCCGCTAGTCCGCGGCCAACGCCCTTCCATGCACATCCCTGCCGGGGGCTCGGTCGACCGCGCTGCCTGCGCAGTGGTCTGCGTTCTCACCAGGGCCGTTACTGCCAAGCGACATTGGTTCCATGCCCGCTGCTGCCCGCAGAACCAAGGAGTCGGTGGGCCTCAAGAGGAAGCAAGGTCTGTGGACGGCGACCCTGCTGTTGGCTCTGCTCACGGTTCTGATGAGAACGAAGTCAAGTCTCCTCAGCGCATCGTCCACTCCTCAGCTGAGGCCACCTCATGCTAAGCGGTTGTCGGCAGGGGCCCAACCATCCCGCGCCCCGAATAGTGCTCGAGCTGGGCGGCGAGGATCCACGTCGTCGCCGGCGGAGAAGGACGTCGTCGTGATCCAGGTGGAGACGACCGAGGCCCGCGGGAAGAATGGCCTGGATGGCCGAATGGCCGCCACCGGGCGACGCGCCCAACTCTGGGTTCTTTCGGCGAACAGGTGGTGTTACGCGGCGCTGAGGAAGGAACGCGAGTACACCTGCGCCAACGAGACCTGACATCAACAGGCCCCCTTTTCGTTACTGGGCCCCAACCTTCACCTATATCGACACCGGCACTGGCGCGGCGCGCGGCCACGTCCGCCAGCTCGTGGGCCCACGCATCGACTTGGACATGCCCCCCGCCCGACTCCGACGACGTGGCCAGGACAGTCCGCCCGCTCGGCGCCGGGGGTCGACGGCCTCCCTTGCCTCGCCTGGGATTCCATCCTGCTCTGGTCTGAAGTAGTTCTGGCTGGCGAGCGGAAAGCGTCTCCCACGCTGCGCGGGTGGCGCGAATCGAGCTTTTCCATTCAAAGGGGCACGCGCCGACGACAACCCCGATGGAGGTGCCATTCGAGGCCCCAACGAGGTTCGCACGCTCGGCCCCCGCAGCGCTGACGTGAAGCTCATCGCCTCGATGTTCATCTCGGTCATCTGCCCGCCAGTCAAAGACCGCGACCCGTCAGCGCAGAGGGGCTTCTTTCCTGGCAGACGCTTCACCGATGACAACTTGGAGCTGGACATAGCGGCCGCTTCGCCAGCCTCACGCTGGGTGCTCATGACCAATATCCACTCCTGATCGCGCTGGATGTCGGCCCAGCATCCCCGAGCCTCTCGCAAATATTCCTCGTACTTGCCTGCGAGGAGTTGGCGGTGACCTCGGCGTTCCAGGCGGCAGTTCGCTTTCTGTGCTCCTTTGTCACAGCGATCGCGGCAGTCGATGACGCAGTGGCCCCCCTGCTCACCATCGCCCGCCGCGTCGCTCAGGTTGCGCGCTTCCTGCCGCGCTGCGCGCTCTCGACACCATCCCGATCACCGTCGCTATCGCGGCCATGCTGGAGGCGACCGCGCTAGGCACGTTCGGAGCGCGCGCGGGCGACATCGGCGGCCTTCTGCATCCCCTCCGCAGCCCCCGGAAGCTCGCCGAATCGATGGGTCTGGCTGCCCCGCGCGCGGCCTTGCACCTGAAGACGGCGAAATGCACGGCGGCGCCTCTGGAGGGCCTGTTCGACCGTCAAATCTCCGCGCCACCGTCAACCACGCCTCGCAGCAGGCATGGCCAACGTGGAAAGACTTCGTAATTGTCAGCCACCTGCTCAACCAGGGCCTCTGGCTGGGGCCCTCTGCCGACCTCCGCGCGGTCTCGGCGCTCAGCTACGTGGCCCAGCTTGCGCCCCTCCCCGCTCGCGTCGCCCCCGAGGATATCCGCCGCCGGCTGGTCGAGATCTGTAGGCGCGCGGGGGGGGGGCCTTTCCGCCTGGTGATCAACTGCCCCCTGCGCGGCGCACGGCTCGGGCTGCTCTCGCCCCGTCCGCGCTGATCACTCACCCGCGGGCGTCCGTTCCAGATGCGCTTCTTGCTTGCCGCCAATTGATGGATCGACGATCGAGCGCTTGCCGAGCATCCGATTTCCCTTGTCCGCTCTTGCTCGAGCACATTTGCCTTCGCGGCAACGCTGGGCTGGACCAAGAAGGGCAACCTCAACCACGAACCGTGCGCGGACACTGCGCAAGCCGCTGCAGCGATCAGGATAAATTTGGCCACGCCGAGTGCCATGTGCACATGCCAGAAGGTTGGCCGCGA